CCACCACCGATACTCTGCATTCTCCTCTGGAGCATCCCCTTTGGGGTTGTTCCAGCGCTCACTCTCTTGTTAGGAAAAAATTGAACATGCCATATACCACCATAATGAGGTTCTGGTGTCCTTTTGACAGATGAAGCTCTTGGCAGCTCATTTTGTTCCTCCCTTCCAACTTTTGTCGGCAGGAGGAAGAGTCTGAAGGCAAAGCAGTGCTGTTTGCTGGAGCTTCGGGAAGCCTGTGCCACAGAGGCTACGCTGAGTGCAGGGCGGCACGTCGAGTGGCTTTTTTCCCCCCTCCTTTCTCTCACTCCTTGTCCTGAATATGAATCCTTCTGCTGCCCTGTTGGAAGAGATCAGTTATATAGAGAATAAGCTTGGCTTCTTACATCCCAGCAATCATTCAGATGGGCAGGTGCCGGGAAGGGGTAGTGGCGTACTTGGGGATGGAGAGGAAGCGAGCGTGCATTTGGCTTGACTGCACCTCAAATTAGCACAGGACCCTTAAAATAACAAACTGTTGAATTTTTCAGGCTGTCACATCCTTCAGGTTCAACCTTTTGCTGTATCATAGAGGGTAGGGAAGTTGTCCTGCGCATCCTTGCCCTGTCTTGTAGCATCCAGTCAAGTTGAGCGGTGCCTTCCGGAAGGTACAGGGCGCTGCTGCAACCTCGGGGGAGGATGCTGTTTGCCCGCATGTTTGTTAAAAACATTGAGGTATTGCTGTTGTAGTGTGTGCTTTCACACTTGGCTGTCCTCATGCAAATATCCCAGTCTGCTCATAATTCGGATACTTTCGCATTGCTTGTTATTCTGCTGCCACTGCCACCGAGGTTGTATTTGGGCTGATGGAGCCTGCAGGACTTTTGGAGAGCCCTTTGCTCTGAGTGGGTCAGCGCCTGCCTGCAGCTCAGCTTGCTGCTCAGTCCTGGGTCAGAGGAGCTTCCAGCCATGGCAGAGAGCCGCAGGCAGCGAGGAGGAGGTGCCCTTAGGTAGGAGACCCCTGGTTTTGGGCACAAAGGGAAAGGAAATACAGTGTGAGCTAATTGGAGTTGGTGTGAACTGACAAGGATGTGTGGTAAAGCAGGAGTGGGAGCTCTGAAACATGTGAAGGCTTTTTTCTTCCCCGCGGTTGCCTCGGCTTTCTCTCCTCCTGCGACTTCACTGGGAACGAGCTGCTTTCTGCTGACCAGGCATAGGATCAGCTCTAAAATGCTTATCTGCAAGCTGGGTGAATTGTTTTAAAATTTATTTTAAGCAATTTATACTCTTCTTTCTTTAACGAGGACTGAAAAAAACCAAAGCCTAAGTTCAGCCAAATTTTTGAATTCTTGTGTCTTTTAAAAAGTATTTCAGGCCAAAATAAAAATAGAGGATGGCACGGCTGAGCTTGGAGTACTTTGTACTGATACTTCACTAGTATAAGTCCCAGTGGTGGGTTTGATGCTAACATGCTCCCTCTTATTTTTAGGTCCAGAGCATCATTCGATCGCAAACCAGCATGGGCATGCGCCACAGAGACCGTTCTACAACAGGGAACACCTTGAAAACTGGCTTTAACTCTGCGCTGACAACGTATTTCTTTGGGGCGGATCTGAAGGGGAAGCTGACCATCTCCCAGTTCCTTGACTTCCAGCGCAAACTGCAGCATGATATTCTTAAGCTCGAGGTTTGGGTTATTTTTATGTATGGGGGGGGCAGTGCACCATGGACCACGCTGTGTAATGTGGTTTCTGGAGGAAGAGCGAGAGTGTGGGAAGGGTTTGGAGGGAATCACTACAGCTGCAGCTATTGCACTGAGGGATCAAAGCTGCTGTTAAATTTCTGATGAGCATATCAGTTCCTGTGGCACTCACCAGGAACATCTCCAGCTTTTGTCAGTGCTGCTCTTGTGGAGTTGCAGCAGCAGCTGGCACATTCTGGGGTGCGTGTCCCTCCACGTGGTGCTTGCCTTGCCAACACCTTGGCACTGCAAATGGAGAGGATTACGAGATGCTTTAGAACAAGACAAAAGAGGTTGAGCAGTCTGTTGCTACCTTCCCAAGGAAGGTTTGTCTCATCCCAAGTGAGCAAGCTGTGCCCTGAAGGTGCAGGGCTTATAACCATCCCAAAGCTCTCCATCTCTGCTTTTGTCCCCACCTTCTTGTTTGCTTCACTATTCTGAGTATTTTGGCTGTGTAAGTGTTCAAGCCTTGTGTGAATCCTGCTAAATAGGTGACCTCCATTATTCACTTGTGCGTTAACATGCATTATAAGAAATGTCTATATATTCTGAGACTCGTACCCTTCAGCTGAATTGAAGGTCTCCTGTTGGGGAGCTGCTGTTAACTCCTGGTAATGCAGTCTCCCTCCTCCTAGTCACACAGCTGGAATTTAAGCATCAAGCTTCAAAATTTGGTTCTTTTGACTAAAACAAGTACAAGAATAGCAATGGGGGACTCCTTGGTCTGTATGTCAGCTCCCAAGTGGAGCTGACTCAAAAACAGTGTTCTTCTCTGGAGTAGGCTCAAGGGTTTGACCTGGCTCAAGCAAAGCCGAGCTTTTATTTGCATCAGAAATGAGGATTTGTGCATAAGAAGATCCCCCTGCAACCATAACCTGTTAAGACAACGGTATTTGGAGTTCACTGTCACTTCAGTCTGAGGTATGAATGTCTGCGTGCTCAGGTTGTGTGATCCAGCTAATGAACAGCATTTTATTGAGTTTCTGTTAAGTCAGTCATTACGAATTTAACCTCAATTTATTCCCTTTTTTATTTGGAGTTTTACGAATCTAAGTAAGAAAGTGACCCAAGGACTTTTTTTTTTGTGAAGGTAATTGTCCTGTTGACTGACCACATTTAACCGGTCATTAAAGCAGGTGGTGTGGCTCTGCATTTGCAGGGGGATTAGGCTGGTTGAAGACAATGTTCTTTGTGAAATGGAAAGTGTCAGTTCCTCAGTGCCTCTAAACTGAAAATGAATGCAGTACTTTTTAATGTTACGAAACATAAGCTGAAACTCGAATGCAAAGGGAACAGAAACAGAGATTACTCTGTCCTCATTTGCTGTCCTTCTCTGGTTTCCCACTGTCACGTTTGCTCCAGGGATGGGCAACGAGGAGGCAATGAAGTGTTATTCCTGACCCCATGCTGAAGTCCTGTGCTCCGTCCACAGGTCCGCGCTTATCTCATTAAGAAGCAATGGGGTTTTTTTCAGTTTCATAATACTTGTTCTTCTTTCTCTCCTGCAACAGTTTAGTACTAATTTAGGTTTCAGTGATTTCAGTCAATAGTTGCCTTTCTAAAAAGTTATTAATTGGAGACAGTACAAGATATTTATGTCCTGGTAAGTTAATGAACATCATAAATGCATCATTAATGTATTTCTGACAACACCCTTGAGCACAGTACCATACTGTGCTTAGCATTTTAGATACTCATTTTAAATGAAAAATTGACCTATGCAAAGGTAACAGTTCTGCTCTGCCAAAATTCATTTTTTCCTGAGTTCATGATACTAAAGCACCTGATTTTTCTGTTCATAGTTCTCATCAATTTAGGCAATGCAGGCCTATTTCTGTCCTCAGCATTATGCAGCATGGCCTCTGTGCTCTTCAGCTTTTATCTCTTTTGACATTATCTCCCACCTTCTCTCCTTGCTTCACATTTGATGTGTTTGTTCACGGTTAAGCGGCTTTTCACACAAGTGTCTAGTGAGTTTGCATTGCTCCTTTTCCAGGGAGTGCTCTAATGAATTCAGCCACTTAGACGTGGTAATTCAGAGAAGAGACATCCCTCAAATATTTACTTGACCCATGCAAATCAGAAGAACGTAAGAAGTGGCGCTAGGAAATACTATGCTACAGAGCATCAGGTAACTCACATAGCTGATTTTTAATGGCTTCACTTGTTTTAATATGTCTTATTTGGGTAATGTACCTGTGAACAGCCTTCTGCTCGACTGCCCACGCAGATCATCTCTGGATCCTTCTCTTGGCATGGCTAGTGTTACCAGTGGAGAAGCAGCAGCAGAAAAGAGCCTGTGGCATATCTGCCAGGGGCTCAGCTGAACTCTTGTATCCTCATCTACCCATCCTTTGCTGGCTTAGCAAAATTATTACGTGGTCTGAAGCTGGGATGTTAATTTGAAAACCAGTTTTTGTTCATATTCAGTGTCTGAACTCTGGAAAAGGCTTTGGAGAAATGCACTGTGAGCAGGTCTGAAGAATATCTCCTGGGGCTGGTGCCGCCCCCTGGGTGACACAGTGTCTCTGTGCTCAAACTGAGATGCTTGCTTTCTCTCTTCCAAAAGAAATCTACTTGAAGACAGATGTTTTTTAAAGCTGTTTTCCCTTTGGCTCGGGATCCAGGTGTATCTGCAGTTAATACACTTGAGAGCCAGTTTCTTCTGCTGACTGTGAAGGCAGAACAATAGTTTCTGACCATCTGAACCCACTTTCCTCTTACTGATTTTAGTTCATTTTTTCTTCTTAACAAAATATTCATGCATATTTCTTGTTAAGATCAAGCAGAAACTTTCTCGGGGGAATTAGATCAGTCAAAGCCCTGAACATTTCGATGTTCCTTATGGCTGAAGTCCTGATGACATGTTTAAGTAACCGGGGCCTGGTGTTTTATTCTTCCCTTCTGCTTATTTTTTTGATGAAAGTACTTTTTTCATCATTTTATGGAAACTCAGCAATCAGATCAGTTGCAGCAGGGGAAGGATGAGATCAGTAACCACAGCCAGAGGGAGAGGAGAAGCTTTTAACGGACTGTTACAACTGTTTGTGGTTTAGCTACTTTAGGAAGCTGTGGCCTCCTTGTTGTTTTGCAGGGTGGCCCAGCTTAGCTAAGGTTTAGTCATTGGAACCAGCCCACCAAATGATGCAGGCTCCCAGCAAAGTCCTCATTGTTTTCTTACTGCATTCACGCTGCCTTGCATTAGTGCCTATGGAAAGACTTCCTTTCTTCTTGTTGCTTAGTGGGACAAATGGTGACAAGTCTATCTGGACGGGCTCTGCAGCTATAATACTTGCTATTAGGACAGGCAGTATTTGTCTCAAATAGTGCTTTTTTTTTTTTTTTTGAGTGAAAGTACTCTGTGAGTTAGGAAGGTGGATAGGACTTGACATGATGCTTTATGCTACTTCTGCTTGTTAGTGTCTGTCCTAGATGTTCCCATGTCTTTGGTGGACTGAGAGGAGTCCCAGCCAGCCCGTAGGTCTCTTCCAGCCTAATTTTTTCTATGATTCTGTAAGTGCATGTGGAAAAGATGTGTTAGCCCTTTGTTCTCCACATCTGTGTCACCACTGAAAGGCAACTCAAAAGCTGCTAATGGCAGTAATTTAATCTCTGTACTTAGTCTTGGTTTATTTCCCCAGGCCTTATTCTGCAGGCAGTGGGATATGTACTTATGGTGTAAGACCTTAGTAAAGAATTTTTTTTTCCAAATTGCCTGCAGTGAGATTTCTGTAGCACATTGTTTCCCTGACAGTTACTCATGGAGGGCATTTGTTCTCAGCTGAACTGGTGAAGCAGGTACTAATCCAGCCCTACACCTTGTAGGCGTAGGACTGTCCTCCTGGCGGGAGATGCCACAGCTGGAGAGGCAAGGTTGAGCTGCATGGCTTTGGGCAACTCTGCATCTCAGTCTGGTGGGATCTGAGGTCTGTGCTTTGAGGTAGTGGGATGCAGCTTCCCATGGAGGAGTTTGACAGATAGGTTGAAGAGTCAGATCCTCCTGCAGATGTATATCCTGATGCTTAAACATAGGGATCTTTGCAGATCATTGTATACCCAAGGGTCAAGAAAGCCCTAGTAACAGTCTCTCCCAAGCAAAAGGTCTTCCAAGCACGGGAGCAAAGAGAAGTAAAATGGGATTCTATGAGAATATGGCAAAGGTACCATGTCATTGCTGCCGTCTGGAGAATCACTTATTTTATGTGTCTGTTCTGTGACAGGTCATGTGAGAGTAACCCTGGAAGCTCCTGTTTTCATGACTACTGCTGATACGATTGCTGCTTGGTTTGGTTTTCATGATGAAGAGGTGATGGATGCTCTTCCATCTGCACATATCTCATTAAAAAGTCCTAGATCTTTTTGGATCTCAACCCTGTCTTAATGAATATGCTCGTTTCAGAAGGCATTTCTAATGCTTTGCAATCTGGTGTTAGGGTAATAACTGGAGTCCATAAGTGCCTTTCTGTTCTGAGTCCTGGTGTTGTGGTCATTGATATCCGAGTAATCCTGTACCAAGTATTAGAAATCACCATGTTGTTACCAGCTTACTCAAGATTTTTTGGGTTCTGCTTTGTTTTCATATGGCCTTGCAGACTGCTACAGAATTTTGGTGATTTGTTAACATAGGCAACAAAGTTTGAAGTAATGAGTCGTGTTTCTTTTATATCTGCTGCAGTGATTTAGGTGAAAGAAAAGAGTAACTTAAATTGTTTTGACTAGCCTGAAAAATGAAGTCTGGCAATGTCAGATTGGCTAAGGTTTGTAAGGAACAGCCGAACTAGGACTTTTTGGAGATCAATTTGCTATTGAACTTACATGAGACATTTTTAAGTCAACCTTATGGCAGTCTCAGTCATGGTTAACTGTGTTGTCTCACAAAGTTGTCGCTTAACTGCTGACCTGCTCACCATCAGCTTCACTGCTGGCCTGGCCACCATGGGAAGAAT